AGATAGATAGATAGATAGATAGATAGATAGATAGATAGATAGATAGAAGGAAGGAAGTGTTACTGGGTTGATGCAGGGTGAGGTGGTCTACAGCTCCCCTTGGCTGTCAGAGACCAAGAAGCAGGGAGCTGGAGCTGCTGAAAGGAAGGAAAGAGGCAGAGAATATGATAAGGAGAATTTCCTTCTGGCCTGCTGGTGGTCACTAGCAGAAGGGGCAAAGGGAAATCCAATCCCTCCTCTTCCTTTCCTCCAGCTTTCCACTCTTGGAATATGGGGGAGGGAGCAGATGACCCCAGGAGGACCTTTCTAGTCTAGGGAGAGAGTTTGAGAGTGAATCAGATTCTTCTGGCCAGGGTCATCCAAGGCAGGAAGGGTGTGATCTGAGGCTTACCTCCTCCCAATGATTCTCCTTCCCCTCTCCCAGTCTGCCACCCTTCCCTCTACTTCGCACTTCATAGGTAAGAAAGCTTAGGCCCTGAGATGGGCCCCAGTCTCATGGTAGGTAAGCCAGGGCCCAAGGACCCTATGAATATATTCCTATATTACCTGAGAAGGAAGCATTTCAAGTATTAGCACCTTAGCACCTTAGCTGTTGGGTCTTGAGAGTGAGGACACAGAACCACCAAGGGTATGAGTGTGGATCCTAGGATCATAGCTCTGGAGTTGAGAAAGAATCCATCTAATCCAGTCCCTCATTTTACAGATGAGGAAATTGAGGCCCAGAGAAATAAAATGATTTCAATACCACTACCAAGACTATATAGGTAAGTAACACAGCTGGAATTTGAACCCAGGACCTGCATTTTGGAGTATGTAGGAGTATTTGTGGGCATGTGGTTGTGAGTAAGGGGATACCTGGGTTGACCCACAGACTAGAAATAGCCAACTTTTGAACACTAAGAGGGTATGTGTGGGCTGGGGAGGGAAGAGGAAGGATAGCTGTCGGGGATTTCATAGCTAAAGGCAGCTAGATGGCACAGTAGGTAAAACACTGATCTTGGAATAAGGAAGACCTGAGTACAAATCTAGCCTCACTTACTAGCTCTGTGACTCTGAGCAAGTCATTTAACCTCTTTCTTCCTTGGTTTCCTCAACTGTAAAATGGGGATCATAATAGCACCTACCTCCCAGGGATGTTGTGAAGATCACATGAAATATCTATAGAGTACTTAGCACAGTGACTGGCATAGTGAGCACTTAATAAATGCTTTTTCCTTCACCCCTTGAGTTTGAAAGATTTGGAAAAAGAGAGCTCCAGGCATAATGCACAGAAAAGAAGGAGGTTCAATTTCCTCCTGATTAGAATTAATATACTTTTTTCACTTTTCTCCCTTCAATGCCTCAGCATCTTAGGACCTTTCTGAAGCCTCTTTTTAGCCAGCCCTGAACTAAGTGATGTGGGAGACACAAGATAATCCTTGCCATTAGAGAAACTGAGAAGAGAAAAGCCTACCTGAAGTAGCTGATACCACAA